TTTTACATTGGTCAATCCAATGTACAGTGAAGTTAATGAGATCAAGAAGTATTGCATCAGATTCCTAATCTTTATTTCCTTCATAAACAGATTATACTTTCAGGATGTTTGCAGACCTTAGACCTGATTTTCCTTGAATGTTAGATGAAAAGCCCATTAAAGTAGTGCACCAATGAGAACTGTTACAAGAAATTACCAATGACTGTATTTAACTGCAGACAGTGTTACAATAGGTCATTGACTAAACTAAATGACTAATTAGTGACCCAAAACCTTGGATGCCAAGTGCAAAATGTCAGTAGTTGTAAACTGTGCACTCAATTTTAGAAAATTAATACTCAATTTTCCTTGACTCTGATATAATGTTTGAACCCCATCAGTCTTTAGAATATTTTGATTATTTCATAGATATAAACATTTTGATTTCTCCAAGATAATATAAAGCAATTGAATAACCTTTTTAACTGTATCTTGGTCTCAGCTGAACATGTAAAGCAGGGGTGCAAAAAGGAGTTATTCCTCATGGGGAGAGGAATAACTCTACTGGCAAAAGCCCTCTGTCCTGTCGTTTTACTGTTTTTGGGGGATGGGGGGTTGCGCAAAAACATACTTGAGGTATGGACACTCTGCTGGGTTTCGCGCAAAAATCTTGTAATGTAGAAGTAGCCCCAGTGACTTCAGTGGTACCTTTATCTATACATTTGATGAATTTGGGCTCCAGGTTTGTGCCTAAACTATGCAAAACAAAGTATCTGGTTTATATTCTGAAACAAACAACTATTAGAGAGAATGAGAAATAAAGCAGCAACCCTGAACCAATCTGAAAAAAAGTGTTCACACTGAGCAAGAAACATTATTCTCCTTTCCCTTCCTTCCTACAAGTTATGGTAAAGGAAACGAACAAAGGAAACCAGTGTTATAATAATAAAATATTTAAAAATAAACAACCTTGGAATGGAGACAGACCCTCAAGCTTTGAGGCATAAGTCAGTTTCCAACTGTTGGGAGTTTGGAAGAAAATTTCCCCAGACAGAGATTATCCCATAAGACTTTTCCCATGAAGCAGTTTTTACTAGTCACTGTCAGAGATAAGGCATTACATTATATGACTCATAGGTGTGATCCAATATGGCAATCCCTATGTTCTAAACTTGCCATTAAATGTGCAATGCAGGTATAGTTATGCCCAGCTAGCAGAGCCTGTAGCATTTTCACACATTGCACTTCTACTCTTATAGGTCATATGTGTATGCTAAAGTATTAAATCTAAATATTGCTGCTGTTTTCTGTGATGCCTATAGTACAACATTTCACTTTTCTGAAAATGTGTGTATGTACGAAACAATACACATTAGTGTGCTATGAGGGATTTTATTGACTTGTATTTGGCATATTAATGCTACTGATAAGTGGCTATGATACAAAAGTAGGTCTTCCCAAATGAATACCGATAAAATCTTTATATTAAGCCACACCAGCACTCACTACAAAGAAAATGAAACTAAGCAATTTATTTTCAGTAGCCAAGCTAAGTCTACTGTAAAAATTGAACAAAGAGTGAAAAGAAAATCAGATTTTTAAAATTCTTTCAATTGTACTGATCTAAATTGCTGTTTTTGGGAGGGTTAGAGAAGTGATTCTGTGCAGTATTTTTTAATATTTCACATCAGTCACTGAATTTGGCCACTATTCCAGGTTTGTTGTCCTGCTGGTGTCTATACCTTATCAGCTTCATTAACAGTAGAGTTAATGTCATCTGAAGTTCCCCTAAGGTAGCTTTTCCATTCACAGTCAGGTCACAGTTGTGGGTTTCTATATGTATGAGGCACTCATTTCACACTCCAGTAGCTAGGTTGATACTGGACCTTAAATTTTACTCTGGTCCAGGGCTGAATTTTGCCCATCTGGATCTTTGGGTCAGTGTCATTCTGGCTGTAAAATCCATATTTGAAAGAAAGAAGGAAATATCCTCTGGCAGGATGTTTCATTTCTTAGGGCGTGGGGGTGGGATTTACTCTAAAGGAGGAGGCGGTTGTTTTATTTTAAAATGGCAGCTCTCTGCTCAGAGGTTTGGGATGTTAGAAGCAGTGCTGGCAATGTGACTCCCAAGAAAACCAATGGGAAGCATTCAGTGGGAGTTGGATCAGGTCCCTAGTGTACTTCATGCAGAGGAGAAAGGGCCAGAAATGGAGATGTGCTGCTTGCCAAGAATGTGGGGAAGTTCTTGGAAAAGGTGCATGCCATACAGTTCCCAGAAAGACTTGCAGCTGTCTCACAACGTCATCAACCATGGAAAATGTTATTTTCTAAGTATGGGGATGGTACATCACTATTTTTTAGAACAGTTAAGGCCTGGACCTTTTCCCACTAACGTCAATAGCAAGCTGCTGCTGACTTCAACAGGAAGATTGGGTGTGTGTTCACTCTTTTTTTTTTCTTTTTTTTTAATTCCTGGCAAGTAATATACAGAATTAGGGCTCCTTTTCACTAGATAAATCACATGAAAATTAGATCTAAAATGTAGCACTGCTGTAGTTCCTACATTCACTCTCTGGTCCACCAGCCTTTTTTAAAAAGTATCACTTCAGATCTTGGAGCTAGGTCCTTTGCTGGCATAAAGATGCCCTAAAATCAGTAGAAATGGCCAAAGGAAAATCACCCAGCATAAGGAGATTCTGAATGCATCTAGAGCCTATGGAAGAACACGGGAACTGCTACACTTTAACAGACCTGTAATTCATCTAATCCAGTATTTTCTCTCTTACAGAATCCAGGGCCAGACACTTCAGAAGATGGTGCAAGAAATGGCGCATTAGGCAGCCATGGGATGTTCTGCTCTCCACATGAGGCATCCTCCTAATTCCTAATAATTAGGGATTAGTTTATGAGTAACAGAGGTTAATATCACTTCCAAAATATATCAGCATTAACTGTTGTAACTCGTAACCCCAGCAACTCTGGGCTTGCTGTGTCAGTTATGAAAGTAAAAAAATTGCTTGAGCAATAGCACCTTTTCCATGACAAATTAAGCATTAGCCTGGACTGTTTTGGCAGTGCTGGTGGGAGTGAGAAAGGTACATTAAAGCTTCCTATGCACCTTTTTCTGTCTCTATGCACCTGGGATGATAAATGTTGATATTCTGTGCAAATACAATTACCCCATTTCTTAAACAATGGGATATTGCTGAAGATCAACACAACAGCATGAAGGTGAGCAATAGTGAAGTGGGAAATATATCAGAAATTTCCAAATTCCATCAAGTCCTTAGAGCTGAAATTCTTGAATAAAAACTTTTATCTACTGTGCCATAACACTTCAAGTTTTAAAAAACCTAATTCATTTTTTGTCCTTTTGCCCACTTCCTCAAGTGAGGCATTTATTCATTTAGAAGGAGCTATTAAGGAACAGCAAGACATAGAGGGAAAAGAAGATCAGAAAATATTGAGATCTTCTCTGCAGAGTAATCTCTAAGGCTCTAACCTAGCAAAAAATCTACACTGTTTAATATTATGAATGCCTGCAGAAACTTTGTATAAAATGTGGACAGGAAGATGGAAGGATTACTGTGATTAAAAGGTCCCTAATCATCTATTACATTCTAATGTATTAGAATATTTCCCATTGTTTTATGTAGGGTGGCCAAATGTCCCAATTTTCTAGGGGTAGTCCTGATATTTGAGACTTCGTCTTATATAGCCACCTAAACATAAGAACATAAGAATGGCCATACTGGGTCAGACCAAAATCCAACCAGTAATGATCAAGTGATCCACTTCCTGTCACTCATTACCAGCTTCTCGCAAACAGAGGCTAGGGACGTAAAATCGCGAGGCTAGGGATGTAAAATCGCGATTAATCAGCTAACCAGTTAAACGACTAAGCGGGATCCTGGACGGGAAACAGCACCAGCCCGGCTGCATTGGTGACCCTTAGTTGTGTTATGAGAAGGAGTAAACAGCACTTCCTAACCCAGTCATTTTATAGACCTCAATCATATACCTCTTTAGTTGTCTATTTTCCAAGCTGTAAAGTCCCAGTCTCATTAATCTCTCCTCTTGCAGAAACCATTACTCTTAATCATTTGTTACTTTTTTCAGAACCTTTTCAAATTCGAATATATATTTTTTGAAATTAGGTGACCACATCTGCAGACAGTATTCAAGATGTGGGTATATCATGGATGTATATAGAGGCAATATGAGGGGAGGGCAAAAGGGTCTCTGCAGGCTGGATGCGGCCTACCAAGCAACTTGATCCAGCCCGCAGAGGCCCTGCCACAGCACACCAAGTCTCCTCCCACCCCACCTCTGTCCTGCAAGGAGTGTGGGGTTCTTAAAAGCACTGCGCATTCTGGCAGAGCAGGAGGAGACTCTGCATGCTCTCCCCATCCCCAAGCTCTGATTGGCCCTGGTTTGGGGAGTGCACAAAGTCTCCTCCCATCCTGCAAGGGGTGTGACACGTGCTCCTTGCAGGACAGGGGGTGGGGCAGGAGGACACTTTGCGCGCTTCCCTGCACCCCCAGGCCAATCAGAGTTTGGGATGAGGAAGCACGTGAAGTCCTCCCACCCTGCAAGGGGCTCAGCTATTAGTCAACCACCAGCTGCTGCTCAGCTGGTGGGTGACTCTAAATACAATGCTCCCTTACAGGGTGGGGGCAGGGAGCAAGAGACTTCTCGTGCTCCCTCTCCCCAGGCCCTGATTGACCTGTGGAAAGCAAGGGGAAGCACGCAAAGTCTCCTCTCACCTCCAGGGGCACACCAGGTTCAGTCAGGGCAGGGGCAAAGACTTTGCATACTCCCCCATCCCCAGACCAATCATGGTCTGGCGGTGGGGAAGCACAAAAGTGTCCTGGCCTTGCTCCTTCCATCTGATGCCCTGCCCCATCCGGGGTGACTCAGAGCCACGTCAGAAATTTCTGAAGTGGCCCCTGGTTAAAAATTATTGCCCACCCTATGGGCAATAAGATATTTCCTGTCTTATTATCTATCCTTTTCTTAATGATTCCCAACATTCTGTTCATTTTTTGACCATTGCTCTACACTGAGTGGATGTTTACTATCCAGAGAGATAGTAAACCTGCATTGAGATTCTATGGGACAGTTTGGTTCATTTAATATTCTCACTTCATTTGATTCTACATTTTCTTTCACATATAGTGCCACTCTCCCACCAGCACAATCTGTTCTGTCCTTCTGATGGATTATGTACCCTGGTATTTGTCCCTTTGATTATCCTCATTCTACAAGTCTCTGTGATGCCAGTTATATCAGTATCCTCATTCAATACCAGGCACTCTTGTTCACTCAGAAGGAATACTCTGATACAGATTTCATAAACAGACAACATTAGGATGATTATTGATGTAAGAAGGAACATTGATGGTAGCAATTTGTGTGTGAGATATCACTTTGAGGTTGCAGTGTCTTGCATATAAATACCCCCTGGGCATATAAAAGGAAAACACTCAAAATTAAGTGGCATTTGGACAACACTATGAATATTAGAATGGGAATTCTTTAGAACAAGCAAATGCTTTATTTCTACCATCTTATGTAATTAAAGAACTGGAATTTAGGGGAGAAAAAATAACTATACAATTATAACTAGCAAACACTACTTAATAATAATAATTAATTAATGATGTTATTTGGAATTTCAGGAAAATGGAGAAGCAAAGGGGCAGTGGAGGGGTTGGCTGGTCTGTTTGCTATATAACATCAGATTATACTGCAAAGGGTTCCTATTTCATGGGGAAATTGGTCAGTAGGGCTATAATAGAATAAGCTGCTAAAGTAATTATTCCAGAACAAGGTGTCCATATGGGGAGATGTTCTGGAATAGAAACATCGGTGTCATTTATTGTGCTTTATTCAATTCCCCATATAGACCATACCTGAGATAAGAAAGCTTTCTTATGTAAAGGGTATATAACACTCAATCTGGTCAATCCCTCCCCTCTGTCTTCCCCCCTCCAGGCAATCTCTTAGAATGAAGTCTGCTTCCTTAGACATATTAGAATATGCTGAATTTGTGAAATATTCTGCATGTGAAACATTTCCTTTTTATTCTGAATTTAGAAGCTACATGAATAGCAGCCTGAATGGAAAGCCCATTCCGAGATAATAGTATCCTGATTACAAGTACTTAAGATTCCATTTGTAAGCAGGTTCATTAGACAGTCTACCAAACATAGGAAAGCCTGGCCTGTGTTACTTTTGGAGCACTGTCTCATTATGGCAATATTAATGTTGCAATGAAATAGTGCTGCACATCTATTGTATCTTTTCTATGGCTTTTAAAGCCTAGTTGACCCTTCTTGGTTTTGTTTATGTATCCTGCTTGACCGCTCCTGAGTATGTTCAGGCCAATATGTAAGGAGTGACAAAGGGAGCAAAGCTTATTTATGTGGAGTTACTTGTGAGCCACTTAAATGATCTCTTCCCTCAGTTCCTACCACAGCACACAAATGTATATGATGCTTTCTCCCCACTGCTTTGGTTGTGGGAGATCTCTGATTGTGGTAGGGATTGCCATAAAACAAATGATTGTAACGAGAGGGAATTAGGACACGGCATGAGTTTTAGCCCCACTTCTGCTGATTAATGCTAATTACATTCCCCCCATAGTTATTATTAAGCAGTACCTCTGCAATGAGTTATACCTGTTGCACTTTTGTACTTCTGTAAGCTAAGTCACTCTAGAGCTCTTTCCCAGTCTATTGCGAGAGAACATGCTCATCCTTCTGGGTGTAAAGAGAGAATTGTGGGAAGGCATTGGAAGATTATCAGCACTCAAGTGATGTAGCTTGTATCTGAACTGCAAATCAGGTAGGTCACTGGACCAAGTGAAAGTAGCATTTAGGCTTTAACATACATCCACAGCCATGCCAGCTAGTCCAGGTTGAAAGAACCACCAAACTATGGTGAGCAGAGTTTGTGTGTGTCTGGAGGGAGGTGAGGAGAAAAACTTGACAGGAAGACAATTTAACTCTGTAGTGAAGACCTACTCACATTTTCTTAGGCCATGTCTATACTTAACACACCAGAGATTAATATTCTGGAGTTCGATTGAGTGGGTCTAGTAAGGACCCGCTAAATCAAACACTAAAGGCTTCCTCAGTTGGCACTGGTACTCCTCAATTCATGAGGAGTCAGGGAAGTTGACACGGACATTTGCTCCCACTATGGAGACGGTGCCATGCTCAGCTTAAGATACGTCAACTCTAGCTACATTATTTAAATTATAGACCTGGCCTTAGAAAGAGCCTGTCATGTATTTTTTTCCTTGGTTACGCTATCTGTATAATAGGGCTCCTCATTCCCAGGTAACTCAATTCCTATCCTCTGTGTTTTGTATCTCTTTTAGTAGCTTGTTTATCCAGGATAATTGCTGCCAGCTAACGTAGTCAATTCAGTAGCAATAATTTGTGCTGTAATGGTGAAGACTTAGCATTCAAATAGTGATGATGTATGATGGAGTGGAGGTGAGGGGGAGGAGATATTACAGTTGTGCATATATAATGTGTTTTGACACATAAAGAAAAGAGTGTTGAGGTGATTTCCTACTTAAAAACCTTTTCTCTGATACTGCAAATTCCCCCCGGCTGATGTGATGGGAACTGAATTGCCCCATTAAACTTCTGTTTTTCTCATTGAATGAGCTAGTTCCACTTTGGTGTTGTCAGAAACGGACAGTACACACTTGGGCTGCACATTCCATTAATTCCTTCCCTTGTCTGGGTCCTGGCCCTCTGTGGAGGACACTGGCTGCATGTGCACAGCCTCCTTTGACATCAGGAGCCATTGCTTGACTGAAGTATACACATGACAGTCAGGTTGAAGGAAGTCTCAACCTCTAGTTTAAGAAGGAGGGAAGGATATCATCAGCCATTTAATACCTACATGAAAGGCAATCACTTGAGTCCAAGCATGTGCAGATATGCAGACCATGTGGGGCAAGCAATTCCTGTGGATCCAACGCTGAAAATATTGCTGGTCTCAAGGTCTCGCCCCTTGCATTTTGGTGAGAGCTATTTTCTGCCATTGCTGCTTAGTCTGTGGAGGTTTCAGATGAAATAAGTGTTCTCAATACCTGTTCTCAAATTCTCCTTCGTCAGCAAAGTGTGCACAACGTCTCTGTGTCTATACTGTATATATAGAGAAAGAATTCATGATGGATGATTGTTCACTTGCATTTATCTTCACAACTGTGAGGCCAACTTTTGAGCAAGGTACTGTAGCCAAGAAGATAAATATCACAGCAAAGCACAGTATCGAGTATAAAATATACTTTGCACTCTAGATTCCATTTCATTGTAAGACTTTTTTTTTCTAAAAGAACCATTTTTTTGGTGAGCTTCCATGTGCCAGCTATCACAGAAGCTAATTTCAATTTGCTTTAAGCCTTACAAAACAAAGAGGGTTTCACACAAGATGGCTGGACATTAATTCAAACAAAAATCCGAGAAGGATCCACCCAGACCATTCATAATAATGAGATGACTAAGATTTTCCCTTAAATATAATAATTTCCAGAGCTTTCTGAGAGGCATCAGCATTTTACTGGTTAACTTCGACAATGGGGAAAACTTTGGGGAGAAAAAAAATTGAGAATATATTTGTGTGTGTAGACAAAGGGAGAAGCGTAATTTTCATTTGGTCAATATGTGACTTAGCTGCACATGGTAAGAAAGTATATGTAAAGTTAACCATAATCACTGAGCAATACTTCTCAACATAACACTTGCCTGTCTGCCATATGTATGACAGATACAAAATCATTGTCATTATTTGAGAGGAATGAATGGTCTTGTGGGTAAGGTACAAGGAAAAGGGGGGATGTCTCATGAGTTTGGAATTTAATTCCATGTTATCCAGCCCTGAGTGACTTTAATTTCTCTGCCTTCAATCCCACCTGTAAAATAAGGATAGTAGAACTTCCCTACGTCGTGTGGCACTGGTAAGAATGAATGCAGTAAAGATGCTGAGATGCCCATATATTACATGAGTGAAGTCCATACAAATATAAGATATACAAGTAGAAAGCATGAATGGCTCAAGGGTTACCCAAATTCTGACCAAATAAAATTGAACACATTTGCTCCACCCCATCTACGAGGTCCTGCCTCACTCCATTGCCCCTCCTTCCTTCATTTGCTATAAATGGTAATTTGGGTGGTGGTAGAGATTGTTGTTGTAGTCAGTACCTGACAGCAATTTTTGAAACTGGAAGTGGAGGCTATCTAAAAAGCCAGAGCCAATGTCATTAATTGATCGTAGCCCAGACAGAAAGTAGGGCCTAGTCCTGTTGAAACCCATACTTACCTGAGTAAATTTCATTAATTCGAGAGGACTATTAGAGTGACTCAAGGTTGCAGGGCCACAAGTTTCTGCTTGTAGTGTACCTAGCTTTGAGTACACTTTGTCAGTACCTCTTAAAGCACTTTACAAAAGATTATCTCCATTTTACAGATATGGAAACTGAAGTACAGGCAGAGGAAATGTCTTACTGAGAAGCTGAGAAAGATCTCTTGAATATCTGTCTAGATCTCTATCCTCTAGGCTCCACTGCCTACCTTAGAATACATTAGATAGGCAATAAACTGCTTCTTTTATTTAAATATCACAAGTCATGACAAATTACAAGACTTTAATGATTTTATCATGGCATTACACACACACACAAAGCCAGGCTTGTTTAATTATGACTTAATAATGTGATAGTATTGAGACAAACCAAATGTACAATGCTTATTTTACAGGAAACAGTATCATAAATACTAGTCATTCTCTTAATCATAAATTAATTTTTAAAAATCTTTAGGGAGAGGTGGGTGGAAAGCTATTGTAAATGTTGGAAAGTATTCAATCCTAAAAAATGCTGTGCTGGGACAAAAATACCATATGGGCCATTTGTTTAATTAGATTAGTGTTTTCTATCCAATAAAACACGTGGAAGGTCAGTCACTGCAAAACTGGTGCATACTGAATTCCCACTACAGTCTCTCGAGCTTAGCCAACAGGTGACTTAAGTGCATCACTATGCACAGATGAGTATTGTCTTTGTCAATCTTCCCCTGTGTTCTTTTCTGTGCAATAGCCTCTCAAAAGGTTTAGTCTACAATCGGTAAGCTGAAATTGGCCCTGTCCATAATCTTCACTGCTTTTTTGGGGGAGTGTTACAGGAAGGCACTTCTGAGGCCAGGTCTGTACTAGTGGAGAAAATCAATGCAAGATACACAACTCCAGCTATATGAATGGGGTAGTTGGAATTGAAATACCTTGCATCGATTTTCTGGCATGGCTCCATGGTAGTTATATCTACACTATAGAGTTTTTTGGGGGAAAAAATGGCTGTTTTTCCAAAAAAAACTTCACTTACGTCCACACTGCAAAAAATTGAAAGAACAGAGGGGGGTTTCCTTTTTCTATGAGGAAGAAGCCTTTTTCCGAAAGAGCTCTTTTGGAAAAAGGCATGTGTGGATGGGGAAAAGGGAGTTCTTTCGAAAGAAGAGAAAAAAGGAAAAAGCATAGGTGCCCTGGTGGTTAAAAGCATTTTCGGAAAATCATGCCAGTGTAGACGTAGCCACTTGTGACTGCAAGGAGTACCACGGTTGACAGAGACTCCCTCAGCATTTGATTTAGGGGGTCCTTACCAGATCAGCTTAATCAGACACCAGAATATCGACCTCCAGAGTGCCAATCTTCCCAGAAATGAAGGTAAGCCCTTAGAATGGATTTTTATCACAACTTGAAGTTAGGAGTAGCATATGTATTTTAACAAGGTACTATAAAACCTTTAAAAAGGTGCAAGACTTAAAAATGTAGCAGAGGTTCAGTGAAAAGAAGGATCCCTCATGATATCTTTATTAAAAGCTTGATCTAGCCATCTGATATAGTGTGAGTAATGGAAAAAATATACTCGTAAAGATTTTGATTATAAAACAAAACTTAGTTTTGAATAACCGCCTTGCAATATTTAAATTTCCGATTTCCCTCCCACCTACTCTTGACTAGATGAAGTGTACCACTTTTCCTTCCTCAGATCACATAAGAGCATTTCTGCTTGAATGAAAAATGTATGGCCTATTTTATTTTTGATAGATTTTACATTGCTTAATGTGTCTCAGGATGTCACTAACAGATTGACCTTTGCAAAAGAAATATTAATTCTCCTTCACTACCCTTCACTCTTAGAATGTGTGTGGTGACTGTTCTCATAGCAGGAACTATTGTGTGAGGTAGATGTTTTTCACGAGTCATGAACTCCCCACTCATGCTTACAGGTGTGCAAAAATCCAAGCTTATAAGAGAGTATTTGCTGACTCATTCCTTTGTTTGTTTGTTTGTTTGTTTGTTTGCCTGCAGCATTGGATTCATGGAACTCTGTACAGGCAGTCCCCGGGTTATGTACAAGATAGGGACTGTAGGTTTGTTCTTAAGTTGAATTTGTATGTAAGTCAGAACTGGTACATATTGGAGGGGAAACTCTAGCCAAACATTTCTCCAGAGCTCAGTTTTATTCTCCCACACCTCACTTCCCTCAGTCCTTTATTCTCAAGCTGAGGTGTCTGCTGAGAAAAGCCGCTCTGCATCTCCCTGGTCTGTTGGGGGGAAGCAGCTAGTGCGGGATTGCCTCACCCCATTTGTAAGTAGGGATCCAATGTAAGTCGGATCCATGTAACCCGGGGACTGCCTGTAGTTTGTGAAAACTAGTGATGTGGCCCTTTAAAGCAGTTCATCCTGCCCCCTCCAATATTCTATTTTTTTATGTTTCTAAATACATTTCACACTAGGTATTTTGCGACCACTCTACTTGTTTGCCTTCATTCGCGTTTCAATGCTCTTGTGTCATCCGCAAGGTTTATAAAGAAAAGATTAATTCTGAAACTGATTAAAATGTTCACTGGTAAAGCAAGACAGAGAAATCTGATGCATTGCCTGTCGTCATGCTACAGTTCCTGGGTATATAGACATTCTTCAGAGCTACGATAGTCTGTCAAGTAGAAGAAAAATACATGCTCAAAAATTGCAATAGTATGTGAGTCTTTAGTTAATGTACTTTTCCACTGTGGTGCTTCAAGAACTGTCCAAAACAATGTGCTCCTTTTTAATCTGAATGTCTTATAAATTCAGTATTTCTGTATGGCACATGGGATAGGACTTAAAAAAAATCAATCTCAACTATCAGATGAGGGTAAAGTCTGACATCTCCCATCATAACATAAAATAAATATTCATTTTTCTCTTTTATTTTAGGTAATACTGTGCTTTCAGGAGATCTTTCAGTGGTCTCTATCAGTATTATTAAATTCTTCCTGAATAGCACTTTGGAAGTAACTATTATCCCTATAAGAAGAGTCTGAATGAACTCTCTCCTGAAGGATAGCTAGGAGTGGAGAGACTGCCAGAGCACACTGTATTTCCATGAGCACACCTACTCAGCTTATCAATCCAGCACATCAAGTGGTGTTGCTCCAAGTGACCAATTTTGGCTGGTATTGGGTTACAAATAACCAAGTACTGAAGACAGGGATAGTAAAATGCTGTTATAAATGTTGTTGTTTTTATTGTAAGAATAAAGGGGAGCAGAACTGTGCTTAACTTGTCCCTGTTCAAAAAAGAGCTAGATAAATTCTTGGAGGCTATTAGCCAGGATGGGCAGGGATGGTGTCCCTAGTCTCTGTATGTCAGAAGCTGGGAGTGGGTGACAAGGGATGCATCAGTAGAGGATTGCAGCTTCTGTTCATGCCCTCTGGGAAACATGGTATTGGTAGCTGTCGGCAGACAGGATACTGGGCTAGATGGACCTTTGTTTGACCCAGTATAGCTGTTCTTATGTTAAATGAAGGGATCACCCTCAGTTTCAAGGACCTCATAAAGTGAGGGGTTCCAGTGCCAGAACCTTATGAAAGTAACAGGGGTGGGGACAGGTGTTCCTGCCAGAAGATGTGGACTTTCCCGAAGGGCCCCCATTCTGATTTAACCTGTTTCCCTCTACTGTTCAAAGATAACACTACATGAGCTCCCTTAGGAGCCTTTGTTACTTTAAAGTGATCAACTGAGAGCTGAAATCACTTGAGATGGGGCAGTGTTTCTACCCAGCCCTGCAAAGAGCTATTACTAAGAGGACACAGCAGAGAGAGGCAGGTGGCAGCAGCAGGTGACTCTCAATTGGCTGTCAAGGAGGCAGTTAGCAGGGAGGAACAAGTAGCTGGGGAAATGGTAATGAACAGTGGTAGTGCTCAGATGGTAGAGCAAGCAAGTGCCTTATTTCCTCAGGTGGGAGGTCATGCACCTCTCAACCCTGGATCCACACTGACCTAAGACAGCCACTGTGAATGGGGAAGGGGAGGGAGCAAATTCTATACTCAAATTCTGTGCTTGCAAGTGGGGGAATTATTGCCTCTCAGAGGCACTCTGGGATGGTGTATAATTTTCCCAGTTTACTTGGTAGGGACTTGAATCTGTTCTGTACTGTATTATATAAAAGGAACCTCTAGATATGGAACCTGGTCTTTGTTGCTCCCAGTTGCACCTGCTAGAAGGGTTACATTCCCATTTTACTGATTGAGAAACTGATACACAGAAAAAATAGAGCCAAATTTTAATATGCTTTCTCCAGATCAGTGGAAGCTCTTTGAACCCCTTGAAACAGAAGTAGATTAAAGCACATAGGGAACTTTTAGTGCTTGCTAGCAGGTGCCACGCAGACACTTATGGTTAAGATACACTGCAATTAAAATTGGTGGCTAACTTGTGGCTCAGGGACTGTTTAACTGTGGTGTAGACATTTGAGGTTGGGCTGGAGCCCAGGCTGGAGGAACCTGTGCAATGGGAGGGCCTTAGATATCCAGCCTGAGCCCTAGGGGAGACCCTCCCACCTCACAAGGTACGAGAGCCCAGACTCTAGCTCAAGCCTGAAGATCTGCACCACAATGAAACAGGTCCTTGGACCAAGCCCCTTAGCCTGAGTTAGCTGGCCCAGACCAATCACAGGTATCTCACTGCGGTGTAGACGTATTGGCTGTATCTACACTGGGCCACTTATTCCGGAAAATCAGCCGCTTTTCCGGAATAAGCTGCGAGCTGTCTACACTGGCCCTTGCATTTCCGGAAAAGCAACAACGCTCTACTGTACAAAATCAGCCGCTATTCCGGAAAAACTATTCTGCTCCCGCTCGGGCATAAGTCCTTATTCCGGAACACTGTTCCGGAAAAGGGCCAGTGTAGACAGCCCAGTAGTCTTTTCTGGAAAAAAGCCCTGATCGCGAAAATGGCGATCGGGGCTCTTTTCCGGAAAAGCGCGTCTACATTGGCCACAGACGCTTTTCCAGAAAAAGGGCTTTTCCGGAAAAGCAGCCTGCCAATGTAGACGCTCCTTTTCCGGAAAAACTGAAAACGGAATAGTATTCCGTTTTAAGCAGTTCCGGAAATTCATGCCAGTGTAGACACAGCCATTCTGTGTGAAACAGGCTAGCGTGGGCCAGACTTACACTGCAGCTTATCAACAACTAAATGTTCATTCAGACAGTCACTCTACAAGTCAGTCTATTGCAACCAATCAGCTCAAGGCGACTAGAATTCAATGGGAGTAAAAGGTGACAGACTGACTTGCTCAACTCCGATTGCTAGAGCAAAGTAGAAACCAGATCTTACTTTCAGCCTTTGCTTTACCTTGTATGGAGCTTATGTCCTCTCTGTACATCTTGTATGCTTCTGCAAGGATTCATTTTCTGTTACCTACAGGAAGGTATATTAAGAGAATTGCATGTTTACACACTTAAGCATTCAAAAGTCAAATTGACCAAGTGAAGGCAAATTTTGTGTTTATTCATAACAAAAATGAGCCCATGCCATTTCTCAAATAATGCATTATCCTATCATCCAGTTTTTTACCACCCTTAAATATACATGGAGCACCTCCTACTATTAGATCACCTTTCTATGCTTACCAGGTTTTCATGGTGCTCCAGTACATCTTTATTGACATAATTACCTCTGCAATATATGTATCTTCATTACTTTGTGACCATCTGCTATATTTTCTTTTCAGCCAGAAGCATCACTATTGGTAGGTACAAGCCAGGAGTCGAGACAGTTAACTGTGATGCTGTAGCAGCTTAGTGAATATGTGCAAAACACCAGACTCAAAGGTGCACAAACACAATGTGAATCATGAATCGCTAGTTAGTGGATATATTTTTCTACTAACTTTACCATCTCCAGTTCAATGGCTTTTAGATGTGCATCCTTAGTGAAACAGAGTACTGGAGTTAGATGCTTCAAGGAACTAAAGGATGTACGGGAAAACTTGAGATCCTATAGAGGCAGTCTCTGTGCTGATTCCTGACACATACTTTTTTGGGGGGGAGGGGTAGGTGAAGGGAAGGAGAAGGAAGATAGGTGCATAATATTTCAGAGCTTAAAGTGGCTCAATCCAATAAGCACAGGTGACTGAAATCAGAGATTTAGAATGAAAGTGCCTTTGCCTATAACACAACTTAATCTTTAGTTTATCACAGACTTAGGTTTTTCCTGACTGGAATTGCCCATCTATCATAAAACTACTACAGGCAGTCCCCGGGTTACGTACAAGATAGGGACTGTAGGTTTGTTCTTAAGTTGAATTTGTACATAAGTCTGAACTGGTGTCCAGATTCAGCCGCTGCTGAAACTGACCAGCGGCTGACTACAGGAAGCCCGGCTTCCTGGAATCAGCCGCTGATCAGTTTCAACAGCAGCTGAATCTGGACGCCTGGGACAGAGCAGCTGGGGCACTGCCGGGTAGGTCCCCGGCAGCACCCCAGCTGCTCTACCTTTAGCTGCTCTTCCTGTAGTCAGCGCTGGTCAGTTTCAGCAGCGGCTGACTTGGGGACGCCTGGGGCAGAGCAGCTGGGGCGCTGCCGGTTGGTCCCGCAGCACCGCTCCTCGGCGCTGCTGGACCAACCCAGCAGCACCCCAGCTGCTCTGCCCCAGGCGTCCCCAAGTCAGCCGCTGCTGAAACTGACCAGCGCTGACTACAGGAAGAGCAGCTAAAGGTAGAGCAGCTGGGGTGCTGCCGGGGACCTACCCGGCAGTGCCCCAGCTGCTCTGTCCCAGGCGTCCAGATTCAGCTGCTGTTGAAACTGATCAGCGGCTGATTCCAGGAAGCCGGGCTTCCTGTAGTCAGCCGCTGGTCAGTTTCAGCAGCGGCTGAATCTGGACACCAGTTCAGACTTATGTACAAATTCAACTTAAGAACAAACCTACAGTCCCTATCTTGTACGTAACCCGGGGACTGCCTGTATTTAGTTTACTATTTCGTGTTTCATTAGTAGAGCTCAATGACTTTGCAAAGCAGCTCGGTATCATTATCCCCATTTTACAAATGGAGAAACTAAGGCACATCGAGAGGATGTGACTTGACCAAAATCTCACAGCAGCCCTCTGTCAGAGCCAGAAATAGAATCCACATCTACCATATCCCACTGCAGAATGTCATGATCATGCTCCATGACAGTATGAATTTCCATCAGGAAACTGGAGCAACTTATCATTTTGGTAAAGGGAAAACCATGACATGTGCTCTTAATGAGGCTGTTTGCAGTTTTTGCAAATACACCTGGGGATCCCATGGAGAAAACAGTGTCATATAACTGTACAACCCTCCTACCCATTCCCTGATCCCCACCACTCTGCCATGTCTGTATGCAAATAGAAAGTCAAACACAGAATTCAGTGACTTCCATGTGCAAAACTGTTGTTTGCACATACAAATATGCAGGTCCTCATGTGTGTTGTAGATTAACTCATTATACCCAATTTGGGCTAATGCTGTAGAGCGAGGCAACATTCTAAAATGTGCTGTAGCTCAGCCAAGAATTGTGGTTTCAAACACTGGGTAAAATCCTATGGCCTGCATCATGCAGGAAGTCAAATGAGATTACCAAAATAGTCCATTCTGGCCTTAAAATCCAGGTGTGGCAGAAGTTTAGGGGAGGGAGCAAGGGGGGCTAGCATCCTCACAAAGGAAATATGGTGGGGCAGGGTCTGTGTGCCACTCTCACATGTGTCACAAACCATTTCAATCAGGACACTCTTGATGGGATCCTGCAGCTGCCGGGGGACAAGGAATGAGCAAGACCCAGAGAATCTGCAGTACCTGCTGCAGCACCCAGGATCAAGCCAGGGAGCAAGTAGGAACCTGAGTGATTGGGCAAGGACTAAAAGTAGCTACTTATCCCAACTTCCCTCTTCTGCCTCTGTTAAAAATCTGTGGAAAACCATAAGCTAAACAAAACTAATTTTCCTTAATGTCTTCCTGTTGCCCACTGGCCTGCAGCACTTATCTTTACAACAGCACCTAACACTAAAGGCAAGATGAAATGGGATTACTTGAAGTTTAGAGTGGCTTCTCCTTGAACCGTAACTGTTTCACTCTAATCTCTTTGCAGAATAGTTTTGTTTTTCTGTCAACGAAAGACAAAAGTATCTGACATTCTGGTGCTAAAATATTTCTTTCTAAATTAAAATACCTGCAGTGCTTGAAGTGTGTAGCATTCCTGAGGGTTGATGGGCACCTAGCGGCACAATATGACTGAGCAATTCCTCAGCACTATGTAACAGTAGAGGAACAGTAGTTAACAAATATGTTTATATTTTCAACCATTATTTGTGTTCTCTTCTAACTTTTTTCATTTCCTTTTAATCCCCATTGTGGGTTTTATTACACCCAGCAGGGGAAAACCTATGGTGGGTTGGAAAGCAGAATTTAGGAACACAGATTGATATGTTTACTAAAGGACAACAAATACAAATAGGCAGCCAATTGAAGGAGGTGTGAGGTGATTGTGGTTAATTTGCCACAATACAGAAAGGTCAGATTTGAAAATGCCTAAATGGGGTTTCAACTGGCCGAGGCAAATCATGACTCGCTGTCTGGAAATACAGACTGTAATGGAGATCACTGTGAAAGTGACTGGAGATGAATTTACTCTTCTGCTAGAATATATTTTCAATTAGGCAACGTGAGATGAAGGCAGTCATATATTGCTGTGAGTCTGATAGTGTTTCACCCTTGGGAAGTAGAAGTCTCTGTAATTCTTTCTAAATAACATATGCAGCTCATTTTTTGTCCAAATATTTGTTTCCACAGTATGGTGTCTTTTAAATAAAGAAAACATGACAAAGATAATACACTACGGTTGGAAAGAGGGAGATAAGAAATTTTGCAGTTTTTCATTAAATATAGTTTTAATGTGAAATATATCCCTGTGAAAACTGTCCTACTTAAATGGTAGCTTGTGTCTTGTACCGGCCCTCTGTACAGGGATGAATTTTACTCCTATTCAGTGTTGCCATTTCTTCAGGTACCATACACAACACTTATAAATACAGTAAAAATAGCTGCTAATAACTACTGGAACCATATTACAATAGTGGAGGTCTGGGATGAAGCCAAATCCACAAAGGGACATAAATACTGTGCCACCCACTTGAGTACATAGCTCCAAGTTAGGCTCCCTCTGCAATGCATGGGAACCAACAAATGGGATCCACAAAAGCCAACATTAAGTAGGGAGTTGCCTGTGCCAGTGGTATGAAAAATTTTTCAGCCAAACCCCATGACCATTGAAAGAATTTGTCATCCACCCCTCCCCCCTATTATTTGTAATATGAAGTAATCCTTTATTTCCTCATAGCTGCTGGCAACAATGCCGCCCCCAGAGCCTGTCTTGAAGTAGATGGGTCTGTCTTGAAGTAGATGGTTTCTAGGTTTCTAGGTTTCTACTTCAAGACAGACCCAAGAAAACCAACAATAGAACACCACTTGTCATCACCTACAACCCCCAACTTAAACCTGTCCAACACATTATTAATAAACTACAGCCTATACTGGAACAGGATACCAAACTCCAAGAGGCTCTGGGAGACAGACCCATAGTCTCCTATAGACAACCACCTAACCTCAAGATGATTCTTACCAACAACCACAGGACATACCACACTAATACCAACCCTGGTACCTTCCCTTGCAACAAACCCCGTTGCCAGCTTTGTCCACATATTCACTCTGCTGATACCATTATTGGACCTAACCAAGTAAGTTATAAGATCAAGAACACATATTCCTGCGCATCCAGAAATATAATCTACGCTATCATGTGCCGAAAGTGTCCGTCTGCTATGTACATTGGACAAACATCTCAGACACTTCGCCAAAGGATTAATGCCCACAAAACAGATATCAGACAAGATCACAAAGAGAAAACAGTTTCTTGCCACTTTAACCAGAAAGGACACTCTCTAAATGACTTAGCCACCTGCATTCTGCTACAAAGACCTTTTACATCTGCACTTGAAAGGGAATCCTCTGAACTGTCATTCATGTTAAAATTCGACACTTACCACCAGGGACTTAACAAGTCTTTGAACTTTCTCACCCATTATCAAGACAGTTTCCCCAATTATCACCTGTAATACCATTAACTCACAAACATCCCACTCTCCCTACCTTTAATATCAGCAATTCACAGACACTTACCTTCCTTCCTCCCCCTTCCCACCCCCCCGCATCCCCCTTCTGTTCTGCAATGTGATTTGTCCTTTTCATATTTGTTCATTTTTTTAAATTGTATCCTTTGGTATATATGGTTGTGACTACTTTCTTCCACTATTTGATCTGAGGAAGTGGGTCTGGCCCACGAAAGCTCATCATCTAATAAACCATCTTGTTAGTCTTTAAAGTGCTACATTGTCCT